AGCCCGACTCCCCGCTGACTGATCAGCACGTGCGTGCGCAGGCGAGTAAACAAGTGCCCCAAGGCCCAGTCACTTGGTTTCCAGGAGCTGTTTGATAGGAGTGGCCACCGGATTTCGATTTTTTAAACACACATTGGTCGCAAATGTGCTCACCGAATCACCCAATTTCCAATTATTTAAACATGGCTTTATTATGCATACCTTTCATGTTTTGTCTGTTTTCATAACATGCATTATATTTATACAAACTGCTAACTATTCTGATAATTCTCATTGAAAATATTTACCTTTTTTCGTATTTATAATATTATCTTTAATTTAATTTTTAATTTTGTATTGCTTTTTCTTCTATACAAGCGGTTTATTTTAGTTAATCAAGTTTTTATCAATTCCCTCTATCTAAATTATGCATGGTATTTAATAGTAAAATCACTATGGATTCGTGTATTACACGCTGCCGAATTAATCTTGAAAATAGGTCACGCGACTTAAACTGACGCGTCACAAAAAAGGGAAGGGGAATTTCCTCAACAAAAATGAGCGAAACAAGATGCAAAAAAATGAAGAACCTTTTCACGGTATAATGGTGACTGCTATTGTGTTCAAAGGTTATTCTAATGTTGATTGTAAATTGTATTCCTTTGTAGAAACTAATACTACTTTTCGAAATTTCCTTGAGTTGTGAAGTAAGAGAAAAGAACCGCTTACTGTGCGTAAAAAATAAGAAAGTGTTTTGATATGATAATATGTACACTTTATAGGGCATACTTTAGTGTATAGTTTTGAAGATTTTTGCAGCGTAAATGCGAACATCTTTCATAGTGTACATAAATACGGCCCCTAGATTTGAGAGATTATTCAACTAGATAGCTGGAATAACGCTATCCGAATATTTGTTTATCATCTATTAATAAAGAAAAATAATTGATTCTGTTTATACTATAAAATGGAAGACATTTCGTTGACGTACCGCCGCTTATCTTCCCACCACACCGCCGCAGCCGTGCGGCCCTCCTGCCACAATCTGCCCTTCTGGCCCTTCCCGCTCACCGTCTTGCTCTGACCCGCCCCTCTCACCCTGCCTCTCCCCGCCACATCCTCTCACAACTAGTTCCGTCACGCTTACCCCGTCCCCTTGCTAGCATTGCCATAAAGATAACAATGAAATTGAGGACATCCGAAATCTAATGTTAATTTTTATACAATTAAATACTTTATCAAGTAAATCGTATAACAGAGAAATAATATATCAAGAAAACAAATATATGGAAGATAAAGATAATTACTCTTACTCTTTCAAGAGTAATAGGGTGACAACTCTTTTTCCAGGACGAATTTCTCTGACTTTTCCAGGTTATCCAGGTCATTTCCTTATTCTTCTAAGACAGGGATATATGACGTTTTTCAGAGTATTAAAATGAAATAGTAAATGAAGCATGACTATGTTCGATATTCAAACTCTTATTGGCTGAACTCCTTTCCCCATTTCATTAAAGAAAAGTAACAATATTTGGTTAACAGGGCTTAAGGAATTAGTCCCTTGTGTTCTCGTATATATCACATAGTCCTGTGATGAAATTCACAAGTGGTTCCAAAACGCAGCAAAACGCGGTAGGGCTGCGTGGAATCATACCAGAGTAGAATTTCAGGACATTTGGCAGAAACAAAGAAAAATCTGGCGGAACAGCGGGCCACATGTGAATATTTGGGACATATGGCAACCCTATGCTCGACCCCTCTTCACCCTGCTTCATGTCTCTTCGTCATGGCCAATCCTTATCCCGTCCCACGGCCCCTCCCCGCTTCGTCGTGGCTCGTCCTTCTGGACACATCCGGGTCTCAGCTCGTCCGTCTGCCCCGCCGTCATCCCTGCCGCGCAATTCGAATTTCTTTAAAGGCTACTTTGAACTAAATGTTACCAAAAATGGAAGAATATTTTGAACCCCTATGTTTCCTCTCTGCCGCTCTAAAGTAATCACAAAAACAAATGAGTTTAAAATATTACACATAATATTACATGCTTTGATGGAATATAGTACTCGTATATATGCATCAGTCATTTTTATATGCTAATGATACCATCATCGGTTAATAAGTAATTTCGGTCAACTAGCATACTAGCTGGTATCCGGCGCGTTGCTGTCGCAGAAGAAATAATTGTAGAAATATCGTTTGAAGTTAGAAAGAGTTACCTTGTTCTTTTTCTTATTTCAGAGCTAACTAATCCCCACCCTCTCTCTCTCTCTTTCCCTTTCTCTCTCTCTCTCTCTTTCCCTCTCTCTTTCCCTTTCTCTTTTTCCCTCCCTCTTTCCCTTTCTCTCTCTTTTCCCTCTATCTTTTTCCATCTCTCCTTCTCTCCCCCTCTTTTCTCTACCTTTCCCCTTTCTCTTTTCCCTCTCTCTTTCCCTCTCCCTCTTTCCCTCTCTCTATTTTCCTCTCATTGCTCTGTCTTTCACATGGTTCTTTCTATTCCTTTCTCTAACTCTCTTTACTCTCTCTTTCTTTTCCCCTCTCTTTTTCCATCTTTCTCCATCACTTTTTCTTTCTACCCTTCTCTCTTTTCACTCACTTTTTCTCTTTTTTCTCTCTCTTTCCCTTTCTTTCCCTTCTCTCTTTTCCCTTCTCTCTTCTTCTCTCTCTATCTTTCCCTTCTCTGTTCCATCTTCCACTTTCTCTCTCTCTCTCTAGTTTCCCCCTCTCTCTTTTCCCTTTGTGTTTTTCTGTCTTTTCCCTGTCTTTCGTTTCCCTCTCTCTCTTTTACCATTTCTCTTTCTTTCCGTCTCTCGTTTTCCTTCTCCTTTTGTCTCTCTGTTCTCTCTTTTCCCACGCCTCTCTCATTCTTGCACGGCCCGCTCCGCCTCCACAAAATAGTCTTACACTAGGGCCTATTACACTTATTAATACTCAACATAAAATACACTTATAATATACACAACAAATCTGAGGATTCTCGAGAAGTGGTCCTCTAAAACTTGATGAATCTGGAAAATATTGTAATGACATATTTTAATAACTATTGAATTAAGTTTAAAAATAATTAGAAACTTTCAGATTTATTTCGGGATTTTATTCAGGGAAAGGGATGAGAAATTTGTCCCAAACTATGAATTGCAGTAGGCAAGAAGAGAGAGAAGAATAGGACATGTTTGATTACTTATTGGTCCTCTATTTTAAATATCTTATTGAATTTGTTCATTTCTGATAAACCGAGAAGTTTTTAATAATTTTCTGAGGTATTTATTTTGTAATATTTTTAAATCGTTGATGAAGATGGAAAGGAAAGACTTGTTCGAGGCCCGTTTCATAGAGTACTACACCGGCAAACGCCAGGTACCAAATACCATTTGTTATGGAAATCCCGGAAACCACTGGTCAGCACAGTGATCGAATGGCATGATACCGGTAGCCACCCCCAGCTCATTTTAATCACATCAAGTAAATATCTAGCACCAAGTCGGAAGTGCCTTGAGAGTCATCCAAAAATAAATCGGACATTGCCATTTCCAAGCTGTTGGGATGTGGGATGTTATGGGAAACAACGACGAAACGAACCCCCCTGTGGTTGGGATGTGACGCCATGCGGTTGATTAGTTTTTGCAAGTGGAGCGGCCAAGTCAGTGACCGTGGCTGAGAGCGATAAGATACAGCGGAATCTGCTTCCTCCTTTAGTTGTACAGTCAGTGAGATGTACTCGTAATTTCTGCGATTTGAGCGTGGGGACCCTTGAAGGCGTTGTACCCGGCAAATGTGGCTCAGAGCATCAACTGATATCTCTACAGTGCCTCTGACCTGGGGATCTTAGAGTTTGAGTCCCGACGGTTTCAGGACTTTCGACATTTGCGACCCTACCTGCACTACGAAGTCGAACTCAACCGCTGTCTGGATGCGATTTCAAGTAGCCGCTGCTCCGAACGATAGTTTTCTGAGATTTCGCGGATCAACACCAGGCGAAGGCCGGAGTAGTTCCCTAACAAACGGGCCACGTACCGCGCGATCTTTCTTTTCTTATTCTTGTCCTATTCTCACCTCTTTCTTACACACGCTTACAATTACATGCAGTACATTACCACACTTCGGGAAACTAGTATGGAGCTTCGAGTTTCGATTGGGGCAGTGCCCCGCTGGTGGGGAAACCTGGTTGGAGAAAACCTCGCAAGCTGGCGTGTTGGTGGTGCTAGATCTAGGGAAAATAACTGCCACCCCTCGCGATAAAAAAAACGTACACTACACTTTTAGAACTAATTACCAATTCACGCGAGCAATTCACGCGTTCGGAAACACCAATGAAGGCGTTGTAATCGATGCCGGTAGCTGCCTGGATATCCATGCCTTACTGTTCGTCTCCCAATATAGTGGGATGGGCAATGATGTCTAAATCATAAAATTTCAACGCCTGCTAATCGGTGTGACAACTACGATGTAAATAGTCTCGCACGTAGAAAGTATTAGCAACGTGACAATTCGATGCAGTCCGACGGTCACACGAGTGTGTGAGTGGGAGTATAATTTCTGGGTGTACAACTACTGAAGTAATTAGTTCCATAAGTGTACTACATATTATGACATGGTTATAGCGGCGGCGTTCCACATCTGCTAGAAGCCGATATCTAGAACTGACCTAAACATCAGTATTCTCTCTCAACGGAGCAGCAACCCCGGGTTGTGGACAAATTTATGAAAATATTTCTCATAATTGAGGTATGAAGATGAACGTTTTAGTGACGGCCCGCGATGGTCTGAACAGAACTGAAATGCGCGCATAAGATATCAAGTTAAATAACTATTTATATAGTGATTTTAAAATGGTTTTTGAGTGTGAA